TGTGTGTGTGTGTGTGTGTGTGTGTGTGTGTGTGTGTGTGTGTGTGTCGGTGTCCTGGTGAGGGAGGGCACTCATAGATGATGCTGACCTCATAACTGACCTTCTCTCCCCAGAAGGACATTCTCAGGTCTGACCTGGTCGTGTGTGCAGTGGCCGCTGTCCTGTCCTTCGCTGTCAGTGCCAGCACCGTCTTCCTGTCCTTACGGGTAGGTGTGCCTGGGCTCTGCTCTCTCAGTGGGGTCAGGAGTGGGCTGGGGGCTCAGAGGGTGGAGGACACATGCTTAGACAACCATGTTCTGACACGGCCACCTCCCTTGTGCCAGCTCCCCTCCCTGGGGTGCAGTTGTGTGTGCAAGGGTGATGGAGGAGCATGTAACTGAGGGCAGTTGGTGGTGTGATGGGCTGGGGTCACTAGAGGGGGAGGCTCTGTGTCTGGGCTAACTCAGGAGTCACATGACGGGAAGGCTGCCCGGAGGAGCTGAGGAGGTGGATCCCGCCACAAGTCCGCACTCACAGCCACATTGCCCCTGGTGCGTGTTCCAGCAGCTCTGCACTCTGCTCGCTCGTCCTAAAACACACTCAGGATGTTTTGAGGGGACGGGATTCTCCCAGCATCCTCTGGGGCCTTCTCCCAGCCACGGTCTCAGCAGCTCACACACAGATCTTCCCATTCGAGGGAAGCAGGATCAAAGCACGCTCAGTGCACACTTGCCCTGCCGGCCAACCTGGGCTACACTGAGCCTGTCTCAGAAGCACAAGATGAATGACACCCGAGGAAACACACCCACGATTAGTCTCCGACTGCCTCTGCATGTACACGCGCACGTGCACATGTGGAGACAGACGGAGGAGTAACAGTGGGTATCTGCCTTACTCACCAGTGTGTCTCTGCTGACCCTTGACCTCTCCCCTGCTGACCCTCGACCTCTCCCGCAGCCATTCCTCAGCATCGTGCTCTTCGTCCTGGCGGGCACTGTGGGCCTCATCACGCACCACCTGCTGCCTCAGCTCCGCAAACACCACCCCTGGATGTGGGTGTCACACCCGGTGCTCAGGAGCAGGGAGTACCAGCAGCGGGAAGCCACAGGTCAGTGTCTCGGCCCTGAGAGGGGCAACACTGCAGGGGACACGCTTCCCATGGAGTGTGTGCAAGGTGCCGTGAGCAGCCTGCCACAGTCTGCAGGCTTCTGAGGACACGGGGCTCACAGCATGTGTGCCCACGAGAGTGAAGAAGGAAGTCTGGGAGCTGCGGAGTCCCCGTGGCACACAAAGCAGGGGGATGGGAAGGAGTGCGTCACCTTAGATACGCATGTCGGTGAGGCAGTCATTGATTTCATGGGGAAATTATCTGCCGTTGTTGGGGGTTACAGCTCTGGTGAGCAGTGCCTGGCCCTAACGAGGGACTTACTGCACATCCTCTGGATTTGTGACCTTCCACGAGCTAGAGTGTGCAGGCAGCAGCTGTGTCCGAGTGAGGTGACCTAGCGGCTCCCATGGCAGAAACAGCCTAGTGCAAGGAGCAACATCACCGCCTCAGAGTCCACGTGTCCCTGAGCTCAGAGCTTGGCCGTGTCACAAAGGCCGGGGGGGAGGGGAGGCAGGCTAGCATGGGCCTCAGAGAGGGGCCATTTTGAGGACGGCTGGTGGAGAAAGGTCCTGTCCTGGTTTCCCTTCTGCTGCTGTGATGACACTGGGACCAAAAGCAAAAGCAAGGCAGGATGGGAAGGGTTCCATTCTGTGACTTTTGGGTCACACTTCATCACAGAGAGAAGTCTAGGCAGGATGGAGGCTGTGGGCCCACCTGCCCGCTCAGCTGCTCTCCTGAGCACCGGGGACACCCGGTCAGGTCCCCATACCACTCAGCAGCAGCGGCTCTCCCAGGAAGGTGTGGCAGGGAAGGTGTGACTGACAGGGAAGTGTGACAGCTGGAGCTGACCGAAGCTTGAGAGCTTCCAAGATACCATCTGTGCGTTAGTCCATACGTCTGTCTCTCCCCTCCTTCCTGCCCTCTCTCTCCCTCCCTCTCTCCTGCCTCTCTGTGTATATCTAGGGTTCTATAAGGTAATAACAAACATTCCACATAAACACAGTTGTCCCTGAAACTCAGGGGCCCTGGCCTTTGAATCCCAGCACTCAGGAGTGGCAGGCTGATCTCCGTCAGTTCAAGGCCAGCCTGTTCTACAGAGCTAGCTCTGGGCCGGCCAGGGCCACCTTGTAGGACCCAGTCTCAAAAATAAAACAACAAGAATAACAAGTAAACCCACCCCACTGTCACCCCGAAGAGAAGACTTGGCTTTCCCCAAATCCCATGTTCCCGGGCGACAAATTCTCTAGAAGATGTTACAGGAGAACAGAGGAAGCTGCAAATGAAGACGCCTTAGAAATAGACTGACGAGGCCTCGGGCAGCCTTGCTGTCTGGTGGGTGCTGTCTGCTGGGCACTGTCTGCTGGGCTCGGCCCTTCAAGGTTAATCTTCCTCCTGCACAAGGAGACTCGGAGCTCCTTCACAGCTGCCTCCGGGCCTGTGACAGTCAGCCTGTCCCACAGGCGCCGGCCGCATTACCTCATCTGTGCAGCCATCGGGGCATGTTCTGCCCAGTTCACAAACCCGAAAAGACCAGGAATAAACAGACTCCACTGTAAATACATGAGGTTCTTTTTATTGTAAATTACAAGCTGCAGCTTGGGCCCACACACACCCACCGCTGAAGCGGTGGGAGCTGAGTGTGCGCCGTGCCCAGATTAGTTGGGTACTTTAAAGGTTCTGGTCCATCCCAGCATGCCCAAGGCAGGGGGGATTCCTGCCTGGCAAGAAATCTATTGGTTAAAATGCTACATTTTGAATCGATTGGCTATAGAAAGGTTCCCAGACCATAATGACCTGGTGTCCCTCCCTAGGGGGATGGTCTAGTTTCCTAGCAACTGTTATCTCTAGTGGGCGGGGAAAGAATGCAGCAAGGTGGTCCCTCCCCTCAGGGCATTACTGGACTTCTCCACCCACCTACTTCAGGTCTTAATAATAGCTGCTAATTTATCTTTTGGTCTCTCAGGCACACCTGCTGTCAGCCCCTCAGGCAGAGTCATGGGAAGCCTCCGCTGTTGCTTGCCCCCTCTCTGTGAACAAACACCTTGAAGAAGTGGCTTAAAGGTGGAGGGGTGCGGGCCCCTGGGGAGCAGGAGCAGGGTCACGGCACCGCTGCAGGCATGGGCATCCGCTCAGCACCGCCGGCTGGGCACCAAGTGTGCAAACGTGAGCCTGTGGGGACAGCTCACACCAAACCATAACAGGCACTAGCCCAAGTCTCCCTGGAACTCTAGCATCACCAACACGCACTCAGGGTGGCAGTGGGGCTGTGTTCACACTATATACAGACACAGTCACAGACACATGACAACATGGAAACACAGCCACGTGTGCACACACATAAACACACAGAGATAACATACAAACACATGCAAACATAGACACCGAGACACAGGGACAAGCATAGACAGATAGGCACAAACACAAACAGATAAACACACAGACATGTAAACAGTAGATACACAAACAGGTAGACAGAGCTGCAAAGACACAGACAAGTACACACACACACACACACACACACACATACTAGCACACACATAATAATCACACACACACATAGAAGCACACACACGTAGCTAAGGTGGTTAGGGCTCATTATTCCACTCTTACATGCGTGAGAGGTGTGCTCTCTGCTCCTCGGATGGCACACATGAACACGCTGCTCTTCTCACCAGGGTCTGCAGGAAGACCCCATCACCTCCGTGGGAGGACTCGCACCCTCCCTGCTCCAAACCTCAAATCACCTCTGTGGCCACACACTGGAAAGTGTCATTTTCGAAGAACAAACACGACAGCATTTGAGAAGCCGCCACGCACACCGTTCCCTGGCCAGCTGGCTCCCGACTCCCGAAGCCTGGGTGCCATTGGGTTCCCCTGAGGTGACCTGGCTGGGTGTCTCTCCCTTTGCTTTTAAGGTTGTCATGTTTCTCCAAATTGGTGACAAAATGTTGATAGAATTTTTTGACGTGTGTTCTGAAGCAGCTTGAATGGATCGCTTTTGTCACCTCAATCTAACACTGTGGATTTCTTATAAATGGGAAATCAGAAGAAAAAAAACCTTAATTTTATAAGACAACTGATCTTTCAAGAGATTAAAGCAGGAAAGGAGGTGAAAGGAAATAGAAGGGAGGGGAGAGAGAGGACTGAGAAGGGTAGAGAGGGGAGGAGAGAGGAGTAGGGAGAGGAGAAAAAGGAGAGGAAGGGGAGGGGAGGAAAGAGAGGG